CAGGAGAGAAGCCAGGATCCAAAGTGATCTGGTTGCTTTTTGTGATGTATTCCAGGGGACGGGAAATCAGCATTCCTAGTTTTCCCTTGCTTTTCAGGGGGAGCAGCTGTTGTCTGTACTGGAGGGAGTGATCCATAGATGTACGCTTGTGGCTGTCTGATCTCATCCTAATCCTTTGGTCTGCCTCTTTGGCAGATAGTGTCTTTTTTTAGGCAGTACTGATCCATGTTACTTTCTCCCACCTACCAGCTGACTGTATCTCCCTGCCCGTGTCTCCTCTGTGTCAGGCTCTAAGGAAGGGAACGGTCAGGTTGTGCTGCTTCTTGAGATGTGGGAAGGGTTTGGGAAAAGAGGTACAGAGGCTGCAAACTTGCCTCAGGGCTTGTTTCAGAGGAGGCTGTGGCACGGTAGAAATCTAAAGGCCCCCGAGTTCATGTTTAATGATGCACTGTCTTCGTGGGCAGCATCAGTTTAAGGTATTTTCATCCCCACCCCTGCTGCACTATCTGTTTTCAGATGAATATTTCTCACCAGAGGGAAGAGATCGCTTTCTTTTATGTTGTGATGTGGATTTCACACTAATTTTTTACTAGAATGAACGACAATTAAACTAGAGTTATTCCACCTCTTAGAAAAGATCAATGACAACATAATTCTTGGGCCAAAATAATGACGTCTAAAACAACTACACCCATTTTTTCAAATTCAAGAACAAAAATCCAGCAAAGCTACACAGGGCCTTTCAGCTAAATTTTTCCCCCTAACCCTTTCAGATATAAAATTTGGACAACACAAAATCAAGACGTGAAAATAAGAAATCATCAAAGGGAGGAAATTCTGATCATAAAACATGGTCATCCTAATTCACTCATCTCTTCTCTAACCTGCCAAAAAAGTAATCTCCCCCAGATTACAGCCTGCAACAAGTACCGTTTATACAAGATGTATGAAACCTAAAACATTAAAATCATTAGCCACACTTTAGAAGGTGAGGTATGAATGTTTTTCCTCTTCGGAAAGAGCTTCCTTTTCAAGATAACCTTCTGTTGTGATTCTTTTTTTGTTTATCCCTGTTTTCCAATGAGTGATGCATGTTTTAGATAGGTTACAGCAAAATGGTAAATTAGAAACAGGAATTTCAGTAGCAGCAAACATTACAGAGCATAATAGGTACACTTCACTTAGCAGTATTCTACATCTTGTGTATGTGATACCTAAAAAAATTACTGAATGAAGGACATAGTGTGCCCTTGAGCATTTATTCAAGCCTCTTTGTATGTTTGACGAGGATCTGGCCAGTAAGGTTTGCAGCTTGCACAAATGTGGATTTAGTGTTAACTTCTCCAAAAATAAGACTGCACAAAGGCACCACTGATAGACAGATACAGAATTAGACCCAATCTACTTAGTTCAGCGTTCTGTTTCAGCACGTAGCCAGAAGCAGGAGCAAGGAATACCATGGTAGCTGGAGACAGTATAATTCATCTCTGAGATGAATACATCTCATCCTAGTCCTTAATAGTTGTAAAGTAGCCTCAAAGCTGAAAGAGTTGAACCTCTGTTTCAACAAATATTATTAGCATTAACATTCAATTTCTTTTTCTGTCTTGCTGATTTTTTGGCCTGGAACAACATCCTGTGGCAATGAGTTCCACAGTCTAATTATAAGCTGTATGAAAACGTACTCTCTTTAATCAGGAAATGAGTACTTGTCTGGCTTGATGGACAAATACTGCTTGTCTTGCCATTCCGCTGACATGCTGTCATGCTAAACTGAGAAACCAAGAAATATGCAGAGATGTGGCACAGTTCTTATTGGGAAGACATAGTCACTGAAAAGCAACACTCCACCTGGCTGTGCACGCATACCTGCATACTCTTCAGTATGCTTTGTGCATCAAATTTTCAAGGTCAATATAAGAAAGCAAAAGCACTTCCAAACACTTTTCTCCGCTTCATTTATCATCTGCAAGCAATGAAATATTCATTAACACCAAGTCCTGAATCTTAAACAACTAGGGCTCTAGCTCCATTTATCATGAAATGGTATTTTTTCTTAACGTGTCAAAATATCTCCCTCAGAGCTACTATTTTAAAAAATTAACTTAAGTGTTAATAATGAGATATGAATAGTCATACTGTCTTCACTTGGTGGGTTTTGCTTCACTGAATAAAGCAAACAGATGGCAACTGACCACAACCACAGCTAGAATCGACCAGTTTTGGTAGGCTTATGTGTACCCTGCAAAGTAGTACACACATAGCTAACCGTATCAGGTATTGGTAGCAGTTTAGAGAAAAGGCATTGGGCTCTATGTTACAGTAACTACTCCAAATATTTACCTAACTTCCTGTAGGGATTTTACTGCCACTACTGAGCTGCTGTGGTTCAAATGCTACCAGTACCCAAATAAAGTATTCTAAAGTTGGCTTGAACTAGTCTTTGCTACATTATAATCACAGAACTGGCTGAAGCATAGACACACACTTAAGCAGCTGAGAGCATGCAGCAAATTCAGAAAATTTGTTTCTATAAACCCCTTTATTTTTACCCGAATGATGACAGATTTGTCTCTGCATGGTCATTAATGTTAATTTCACCTTGACAATTCTGAGCTGCTTTTTTAATTTGCTAACTGATTCACCAATAAAATTATAAAAGCATAACATGCTGAAAGCTGGAATTTTCTTTCTGAGCTGAAATCAAACATTTTGACATTTATTAGTTCTATAAAACGTTGCTAAAAAAATAAACATTTTTGAGTTCATAAGAACCATATGCTCTTCTGTTTATAAAATAGAGCTGTGCCGGGACCAAAAAAAAAAACCATTTCCCGAGAACTGCATTCTTTGAGGGATTTACATTTTTTAAGCTTTTTCCTGATTATCATGATCTACACCACATGTCCAGAATCACAGCACCTCTGGAGTCCTGCGTCAATACCATTAACTGCGTTGCTCTACAGATTTGAATTCCAGCTTTAATCTGCATTCACTTCAACTGGTATTGCTGTGTTAGGTATAGGTAGAGGGTGAAAGCAATTATTCCAAGTAGCTTAGCAGACATGCGAGGTGACCATGTTTCTTGAGAGATCACATATGTATGCCTTGTATCAAAGGAGTCCTATAACCTGTGGAGTCAGTAAAGCTTCCCCAATATTTGCATTATCTTAAGGATTTTCAGTCACTTGGTGGCCAGTCCCCGGTCCTTAGTCTGGATGAGTAGAAAAGGGCAGGATCTTAGAAGGATGCCTCAATAAAAGGGTGAATAACTGGCAGTGTTTAGCAAACCTACAGCAGTTTGGGTGGAACAGGCTCAGAATTTAAATTTAAACCAGGAGAGATAATTCATGTTGGATATATTTAACTTTAAATACAAGTTTTGCTTTCAGCAAGGAAGCATGAGATTATCCTCATGTGTCCAGAGGGTTCTGAAGCACAGTTCAGGGTAGAGAGCTACTGAATGAGTGAGTCACTGCAATGTACACACATAGCTCAGTAAGGCAAAGTTTGCATTAGAAGAAAGGCATGAGGCAAAATTTTGTATTTCTTAGTTTACAGAGATCTCATTTGTATTAGTTTAACTTTTCATTCCTGCCTTCAGATGTTCAAGTCAGCTCCGTTTTAAAAGAACACAAAGCACCTTTCAGCCTGACTCCCTGCAGTTTTCTGTCTTATGGGTTGATTCTCTGGTGTCTTGTAAGGCACAAAAAGCAAAACCTTTATTGCAGCTGGTGCATTCAAAACTTCTCACACCTACGTGGGTTCTCCAGTGTCTAATCAGGAAAGTGTTCACGCTACCACCTTTCCCTCGAAGGACCACTAATTTACATGCCATTACTCTACCCAGCTCTCTATTTTCAGTCCATTTTATCTCTAAACCATGAGTAGCATGACTGAACACCAGGTCTTAGAAGTCCTCAGTTCAGCTTCCGGCTCAGTCATGCTGTATGTCTGATGCTGAAGACATGTAATCCACCTCAATTCCTCCCCTTTAAAATGTGGATAACGTATTTTACTATCTCGCAGCATGCTGCAAGGATCATCACAACTACTCAGACATTATTGTGAAGAGCATCAAATAAGTCTCTGCACAGGTTTCAAATGTAAGTATATTGGTGGTCTTCATTCAGAATGAAGACAAAGTGCATCATCTGTATCCTTAAGTGCATTATTCTGTCCTAGAAAGAAGTGAATACCACACAAATAAAAAAAAAATACGAACATCATCTTCTACCCAATGCATACTGAAAAATTAGCTTTCACTATACAAATCTTCCAGCAATCCAAACTGCTACACAGGACCACCCACCTCTCAAACTGAAAAGTCCTGTTTATTGATGCATGACCAGGACGGTTACACTTTACAAGGACAGTTTCCTAAGAAGAAAACAAAATACTTATAGTTAATATCATAAGCACGCAAATAAAATATTTATCATTTCTAATGCTCCGGTTACAGCAGTAATTAAGGAACTGGAGAGAGCCTAAAGTGCAAAACCTTGCTCCAACAGTCACCAGCACTTGAGGTTTTAGAGCTTGCCTACCGCAGTGAACTAGCCAGATCAGGAGAAAGGATCTCAAAATGCATTTACGTGATTAAAGAGCAATAAGCACAAAATATGGGCACTTAAGTTGAGGAGAAAGATCCAAACCATCACCTACACTTCTTACATGCCTAGAAAGCCACAGGCAAGTAAAACCAACGTATCTAATTCTCATCACAGGTAGTAAAATGGCAAACAGAGCCCTTTTATCTTAAGGTCAGTTTTCAGGGCGTCATTTCAGATTGCTTAAATATATACATGTTATTTGTGCCTATAATTGAACAGAAGATGCATATTTCACAGAATATCATGCTAGTCCACAACTATGAAAGAGAACAGCAGTGGCACAACTGCTAGAATTTGATGAGTTCTTCGTAGAATCCACTTTTCAGATGGACTATGTAGCAGTTTTGTAAGCATGTCAAAATATGTCAGTAGCTCTTTAAACTATTAATAGAGTGTAATCACAGCACTTTCACGTGTCTTAACTAGCGACTCCTGTGCCCTTTTACTCCTCACGGCATATGTTGCTTAATGGCAGAGAAAAGTAGAGAAAAAAAGGAAAGGGTTTACAACACTCCAAGTGGAAGCTCATTAGCACATAAAATACCTCATCTTATTCAAGGTTTCCTAGCTTACTAACATGCAATTACATTACATTTTGATGGGAGTGTTGAAGAAATTTCTACTATGCTTCAGACAAATGGCTTGCAGCGCTAAACGAATGCCTTTCAAACTAGTATTGCCACTGAATAAAGTAACAAAGAACTGAAAAAATAATGATTGCATAACAGTATGTCCAGCATGCAGGTGGCTAATTAAAAAAGTCACTTAAATTTCTTGTTTTATATTTACAAATATTCTTCCTCTTTGGAGGAGGCCAATCCAATGAGGGCAACACAGAATGAACTGTGCTGTCTGTCCCAGCAAACAGACAAATTTAGCAGCAATACAGATGTGAGCACAACACTGCTACAAGATGGCCTGACTCAGCAAATAGGCTCCAAAAAAGAAGAAAAAAAAGGACTATGAGGTAGACTTATGCAAGTCTTTCTGATTCAGTTATCAAATTTATTTGCAGACTAGTTTTTCCCAAGATGAAAAATGGGACAGAAAAAACTCTATCTGCGTAACAGAAACAAAAGACTTGCTAGTAGGGAGAAGTCTTCATTATGAGCATTTTTAATGACTTTCCTTTCTCAAGAGCTCAGTATGGCCTAACACATCCAGCACAGCTGCTGGTCTACAGAATCTCGTCACGTTTCCCTGTCAATAGTCAGTAGCGTCTATGAAATCCCGACACCTGTATCAAACGATACTGAGTAATGGGTTTTTTTTGTTCCAGAGAGACAGAATACTGCTGGTCGGAGTTCTTTTAGGGCAAAATGAGTCTTGGAAATGACAAATGGATGCTTCATAAATATTCAGGCTGCCCTGACAGCCAAGCTTGGGGAGGTCTTGAGCAGGTGAAATTCAATGAAGCAAGGAAATAATTTTAAATGAGTCATATGGAACAGAGGCCATAGACATATGATCACAAAACCCAGCTGTGATGGTTATCATTTCCCATCACTTGTCACTGTGTATCTGCTAAAGGCTATTGCCCCCTTTCCCAAGGCTACTGCCACACAACACAGCCAATGGATGGGACACTGCGATAGTTTCTGATCTGTTTTGACTGCTAACTGTAGCACAACTGGCTGACAGAGCACTGAGGAAGAGATGGACTGCTTAAAGGATTCCCTAGCCTAGGTAAGCTGCGGGGAAAGAAACCTCCAGCTGGGGATGGTGAAAAGCAACTGGGGAGCAATAACGTTTCCAGCTACTACAGCTACATCCACCAGATCTACTGCAAAATTATCTCCCAAGAAAAGGAGGGTCCTACTGGGTAAATTAATACATTTTCCCAATCTGATCTAGAAAAAAACAGCAGAATCCTTCCACATCCTCCCCGATAGTCAGAGCGGCCTCTTCGTCATCACTTTTTTCTCAACTGCTCCCAAGTGAAAAGCTTTTCAAAATGATTTGAAAGGAAATAACCACTCAGAGGCAGCCAGTTTCTTTTCTCCTCCTGCGCCAAAGGAGGTTGGATTCAAATGACAAAACAAGGTATTTTGCTAAGGCAGGTGTCTCAGGCTCCTATCTAGTCACTGGAGAGAAATAAACATGTCTAAAGGGTAATTCAGAACTTAGGTGAATGACTTTCCATGCAGAGGTGGTGGCTACTTTTCTTCACTGCCTACAGGGGGAGTCTGGAGTGCTTAAATTCCTAACTTAAGCACCTCATGTAAACATCTACATTTGGATCTCGTGAATTCAGGCCAAAGCACAGTTAATCATTCGCACATAACAGCTATATTCAGTAGCACATACAGCACACTCTTCCGCCAGAGACTGACAGAGTCACAGAAGAGCAAGAGGTGGGACCCTAGAACAGAATCACAAAATCACTGAGGTTGGAAGAGACCTGTGAAGCTCATCTAGTTCAAGCCCCCTGCTCAAAGCAAGGTCAGCTAGAACCAGTTGCTCAAGATCATGTCCAGTTGGGTTTTGAGTATCTTCAAGGAAGGAGACTCCACAATCTCTCTGGGCAACTTGTTCCAGTGTTTCATCACCCTTACAGTGTAACAGTTTTTTCTTATGTTTAAGTTAAGTTCCCTGTATTTCAATTTGTGTCCATTGCTTCTTGTCCTGTCACTGGGTACCACTAAGAAGAGTTCAGGCATTCAGCACCTTGGCCTTTTCCATGTCACCTGTAACCAGCTCCCCTGCCTCATTCAGCAGCAGGCCCATATTTTCCCTAAGGTTCTTTTTGCTGTTAATATGCCTGTAGAAGCCCTTCTTGTTGCCCTTCACATCATTCTCCAGATTCAACTCCAGATGAGCTTTGGCATTTCTGCACACTCAGATAGCGTGCTCAGATATTTCTCCCAAGTTACCTGTACCTGCTTCGACCTCTTTTATGCTTCTTGTTTGAGTTTAGTTAAGAGCTCCTTGTTAACCCATGCAGGCCTCCTGCCACTCTTGCTTGGCTTCCTGCACATCAGGATAGAGTGTGGAGGAGGTAGTCCTTGAAAATAACCTCTTCTGGACCTCTCTTCTCTCCAGGATCATATGTATCCCATGGGATTCTTCCAAGTAGACAACTGAACAGGCCACAGTCTGCTCTTCTGAAGTCCAGAGTTGCAATCCTACTATTTGTCCTGTTCCCTCCTCTCAGGGTCCTGCATTCCACCACACCCTGGTCACTGCAATGAAGGCTGTCCTGACCTTCACATCCCTGACCAGTTCTTTTTTTGTAAGGATCAGGTCCAGCAGAGCATCTCCTCTCATCTGCTTATTTCCCCCAAGCAGCGACACAAAACCAGCGCCGCTCAATGCCTTATCTGTGTGAAGTAGTTCAACCTGATGCATAGTGAGTGCTCACTCCCTACCATTATTATAACAATGAGCTTCAGGAGAAAGGCTCAGACAGTTGTTACAATTATGCTGAGTAGCTGGGCATACATGGGAAAGTGAAAAGAAACCTTGCCAAGCACATGAGAAAATGTGAAGAAAATCTGAACATAGGCTTCTTCAAATCTTTCAAGCCAATACATTTGAATCAAATATGAAATTAACAAGAAAAAACCTTGGAGACAGTCACCCTGGAGTCCTAATGTTAGCAGCCAGACTCTCCATATGAAAATGATTATATTTATACATGCAATCTGAGACTTTAAAATCTCGAATTAGCTCAAAAATTGAAATGAAATACTCTCCTGTACAGCCAATAAAAAACTAAGCCTTTTTTAGACTTTAGAATCACAGTAATGACTCTCTAAACAAGATGTACAAGATTACAGAAAAGGTCACTTGTGTCTTTTGAAGAATTAATGACATGAATATCTAAATAAACAAGAGAAAAATTGGTCAAAGAAAATCCTAAATTGAAATCAAGTGGTCTCAGTCTCACAAGGCAACACACAGTCATTCTGCCTAAGTTAAAGCTCTGCCTATGTACAGAGAGTTTCAAGGAAGTGTTAAGACAGCTGCTGGCAGAAGAGAAGCAGGACTTCTTCACACTGTAAATTCGGTTGAAGTATTTCACTGAGACAGTTGTTTTTCCCTATTCTAGTTAAAACATGACAAGCTGTAGCCTAGAGGAGGCAGAATATTCCCAGAGCTCTAGCACAGTCCAGGTACAATGTTAAGCTGAAGTCTGTCCATCAGATCAAACCATAGTTTCCTATGCATATGCTGGAGGGGAGTGAAAAGGAATCAAATGCATTGTGACTGTGGGTCTCCTATGCAGCTCTGCTTTGTAACGCATGTTGGCTCTAAAATGACCATGTTACATGCGCAGTTTCATAAAATATTCTCCAATAAGTTCAAGGAAAAATCTGGAAACCGAGCCATTATTTAAATAACAGACCTCAGCACCTCTATCACAAGCAGTCTCCCTTAACCTTGATCTAAAATTTCCTTTAAATCATAAATACTTTTTTGGAACATGGCTAACTTACTTCCAGAAATGTGAGCTTTGACTGGGTTGAAACTAAAGCCTCAATAACAAATCAAAAAACATAATTTTATCTGAAAACTGCATACTTATCATAGCTACAGGTATAACATCTACAGTTGTTAAAAGAAGCAGGCATAAACATTGTATTTTTTTTTTGCTTTTGTTAGATTAGTCTAAGTTGATTGCTTTTTGCAAAAAATCAGTCATATTTTATCCTCCCACATGACCTTGGATACTTTAAACAAAAGTATCAATTTTCTATAAACAAAAATTCTTATTATGAAACTAATACAAACTTTAAGGTGTTTGATCAGAACTAGGAAACATTTTAACTAAATAACTCTCAAAGCAAACCAATAAAACATTTGAATTCAATACTGTATTTTCCAAAAATAAGAAGATAGTACCTTACAAATTTCGTTTTACAATCAAGTCCATACATATGCTTATTTTCCTGAAATATTTCGTAAGGACTTTTAAACGCAAGGTCAGTCAGCATATTGAAGCTTACCAGCTCACTGTTCTATACAAATTCAAACTTATACATTGATTTAAGCAAGCACACACAGTTTTGCCTGTAAAACTATAGATACTGTAATACATTAGATTGCTATAGCAAATAATCCAAAACCTAATTATCTAATTTTGTTTTTTTCCTACAAGAAAATGTAACAGGTGAGAAATGGTCACTGCATTGTGTAGTGCAATAAACGGGTCATGACATTTATAATACTATAACGTTACAGATTCCCATTTTTTATCTCACGACATAGTCACTCTCTCTGACTCTTCATGTGCTCCGTTAGTTTCCCAATTGTGTATAGGACCATCCAGTCTATACAACAGAGAACCACCCAGTGAAGCTGTAATTTAGATTTAAATGCATAAGATACCTTAGGTCACTTCATGTACACTTTAAGCACTATACTACAGAAGAGAATGTGGCTACTTACTATGTAACAGTGAGCAACTGACTAAGAACTATGACAGCTAAGAAAATTAAAGGTAAAACCCAAGTTAATAATACTTTGACCTTAGCTCACACTATTGTGCCTTTTTAACTTTTATGTCTCGGTAATGGCCTCAGTTAATGCTGGAGTGTCATCTGGACTTGCAACCTCAGTGTTCATTCTCCTTCTTCTGATGGATCTAAGCCAGGATCCTTTAACATGCTTGACTGCAATACCGTGTAGGCTGTTGTGGTACTTTGTGAGATATCGTATTTCTTTCCTAAACCATTAGTTGTATTGTAACAATAAAAATGAAAAAGCCTGACATAATTTTAGAAATGGTTACAGTAAATAGAAATAACTCAAAGAGCGTGCAGGAAGTCTGCAGCAGGTTGACTACTGCAAACACCCAAGCTCCAGTTCATGGATGACTTTACCAGCAGAAGCACCAAACTATTATTACTACAAAGAGCCAGGATAAAAATAGCAGAAATCACCCGCTAATGCATCCATGGGAGATCAGAGCTGGGTACGTACTGAGAATTGTCTTGTGAACCTAATTTTCTTAAGAACCGATTGTTCACCTGTCCCTCTTTTTCTCTCTTTCATAGTATCTGTGAATGTGCTTGTGAATTTCACTGTTAAATATACTCACATCATCAGCTGCATATGCCACCTTTTCTGAAAAGTTTCTTTGCCTGTAAGAAATAAAATTTTTCTGACAACAGGGGAAAAGAAACCATAAATGTTTCATTTAAGTCAGGAAAGTCAATGCTCAAAATGTCTGTGAACTACAGTTGTATAAAGAGTAACTTTCAGAATTTTCATTTCTGTTGTACCCCACGTACATACCCCACAAATAACACCACAGTTATTTGTGACTAAAAACCAAATTAAAGTGCAACCAAGCAAAATAATCTACTTAAAAAAGCAAATTTAGAACAAACTCAGTTAAGACTAGTTCAAATGCAATATTGTTTTTAGATCACCATTGGAAAGCTTGTAACAAGAGGCTTTCACTATTGCATGTCGAACTGAAAATAACTGTCTTTTTAGGTATTTGGCCCCGATTCTGCAAATACAATCAGAAGTAATTTTGCATCCATTACTAATCTAAAAAATGACTGGGACTGCTGAGGTGTATAAATACATTCATGTGTGTAAGTGTTTTCAGACTCAGTCCTTAGTCCTTACAACTAAGTTTTATTTAAATTTCCTTTTGGTATATTAAGAAAAGCGAGGCTTAGCAATTGCATGTTTGACACAGTCCATTGTATTCTACCCTATGCTTTAGCAGCCAATTGCACTATTCCATATAGCAACAAAAACAGAGTTTTTTACTTCACAGGTATACTAAGCACAGGTTAACTCAAGATTCCCCTTCAGACTCCTAGAAATTTCTTGTCTAGCTTTTTTTGTTTTGTTTTAATTAAAACAATTATATATTTTCTTAAAGATTTCCCATAAGTGCATAGACTTTTAAAACATTGTATGTATTCTTTTAGAAATACCAGCCAGGGAAAGTAAAATAAAGTCCCAAATTAAGTTATTTTCTGATAGGGCAAATCATGATGTTACTGTTTTCTAGACACCCACCTAGTGTTCCCCTACTTTCTCTGCTGGTGTTTGTATCGATCTCTGCCTTCTTTCATGTTAGTCGTCTATGGAGAATTCAGCTTGTTACAGCACATACGTGCATCTAATCCCTCTTTTCTTTTTAAACCTTGGGACGTGCTGACACTTCAGTTATGGTAAGTGTATTACAAATTAGAGATACAGAGCCAAATTATACTTAGATAGATAGAATTACAAGTGTTTGTGCTGACAGCAAATCTGTTCTATAGCATTACAAAACATCTGTAATGCTGAAGGTCTCTCTCCACGTAACTTCTGACAGATGTTATTAAATTACTGTATCCCAGAATTTGTACAGGATACAGAATATGCTTTAAATTGGCAGCAGCTGTGTTACTTCTGTCAAGGCAGGGATAATTGTGGGTTGTTAAACTGCTACGGCTTTCAGGTTGAAAGACCTTTAGATAAGGAGATGAGATTGGCTAAAGCCATCTTAACAGGAGAAAGAAAAGGAAATGGCTATTATTTGTTATAATACCATCACAGTCTTCCTACCCCTATAAAAACAGAAAAATCGAGAACACAGTTATTCTCGCACACAAAGCTATTGTTTTCTCCATATATTAAATATGGATCAGCTAAGATTATAATGCAGCCAAAATAAATTACCCATCTTGTGGTATTGTAAGTCCAGCAGCTGTATCAAAAGGTAGTAACGGTCGGATCCTGCAGTGGACTCTGATATTTCCTCTTAACTCCTAGGATTAGAATATTAACATGTATTTAATATAAATTCCTGGAGAGGACAAATACACCAGAATAAGTTATACAGGCATAAATGTGTTTAAGAAAACAGATAAATGTTTTCAACATCAGAGCTTTAGACTTTCCATGGAGAGAAAAAAATAGTATCAGTATCATTTGCCCTCTCCTAACTTTAAATGGGAAAGCGTAAGCTCTTCAGAATTATGGAAGGGGGTGGCCCTCCTCAGTCTATACGGCAAACAAAAAAGGCCTTCAGTCTGAGCCATTTTCCCTCTTGAGTCTCCTCCTTTTTCACTAGAGCTTCTTCAGACACCTACATTAACTTGACAGACAGCAAGTTGAAACACTACATTGCTCCTCAAACACCAGACCTGAGGAAGATGGAGAATATAAAACATTCTGTTCCTTTTTCTCTCCATCGTGTGTTCATATATGACTAAAAAGACAGTAAATGATTTTTCTCTGTAGACTGTTTCAGACTTCAGTTTATCTAACCTGGTGTTTTCCTTTCCCTTTTGCTGCTGCTCACCTCTTGCCTTATATTAATGAAGGCAGCTTGTCTGTGATGACTAGTGAACACTGCCTTTAACTGCCCACTGTCTTGTGTTTCTAAAAATTAGGTCCCTTGTAGAGGTCATGAGTCAGGCAACTCAAAATTAGTCATTTGTTGCGGGGGAGAGTAGAGTTAACAGGGCAAAAAACAAAAAATGAATCCCAAATGGACCATCACTAAAAAATGAGCAGGATACAGTTAGATATATCTGGAAAGAAAAAGAAAATTTTGCAATTTCAAGTCAATCATTTTAAGAATTCTAGAACAATTTCAGAGCAACACTTTTATTTAATCAAGCTTGAATTTATATACCCTGAATTTCACATTGTGGGGAAATTGCTAAATGAGAAATGGGGTTTCCTGGGAGTTGCAAATTTAGAAAAAGGGATTAGGAAATTCAGTTTTGCTCACTTTTCAAAATGAATCGTACTCTTTAGGGCCACATGCCCCAGGAGAGCGTTTGGAAGATGTTTATGTAAAAAGAATGGGCTAGGGTTTATTGTAAGACAGAAGTGCCTCAGCAAAGAAGTGCATTGCATAAAAATAGCTGGGCAGGTGATATATCTATGGAAAGCATATTCATTACTTTTACTGGTGAGGAAATTACAGGCACGATTATAAGAAAATAGAAGATTTCTGTCATTAAAGATACTTACAACTAAACTGTTATGTAGAGCTCTTCTCTTTTGCTTTTCTTTCTCATATCTCTCTGTAACTTCTTGTAGTGATTGCTCAAGATCAAAAGCTTTTATCTGGAACACTAGAAGAAGAAAGTTATTTCAAATAACTCAATTCCATGACTTTACAGAATGGATTTAGCAATAGCACCTCCCGAAATATAAGCATAAACTTATTTAACTTCTACCACACCTAAGTTAAGATGGTCAGTCTATGATTTACTAGTCACTTCCGAAAAATCCCATCTTACTTCTTGTTATGAAACGGCTATGCAAAGTTGCAGATAATTACCACAGGTATACATGTGCCATCTTGAAAAATGATTAAAAAGCCAAGATATTCAAAGGTAGGTCTAATGTGTCAGCTTAAGTTAGACTATCGTTACCTGACAGTAAAGCCTAAAACCAAAACCTGAAGGAAACTACTTCTGGATGAGGCTAAGTCATGCCATGTTGGCACGGATTATTAGATTCATGCCAGCTTAAGTTACAAGATGTTAACCTACTATTTATCCTCAGCCTCACTTACAGCACTACTAATCCTGTAAACAGCTATAAGACTGCCCTTTACAACAGGTGCATTCACTTCATGGCTAAAATTTCATAACAAGAAAGACTGATCATTTGAACCTTACAGAGTCTCCACGCGAATCGAGGAGAACAATATGGGACATTATAAAAGCTTTCCAACCTCACAAACGATTTTATTTCAGCTCAACTACATTAACACTGAGCAGGCCTAAAACAAAAACATAGTCCAGAAGGCTCATGAAGTAACTGTAAACCTGTGTAAAAAACAAGCTTTTAGGAAACCCAGTGGGAAATCAATCTCCCCAGCAATTAGTGAACTGTTTGAAAATGTAGAGTAGCAAGCAGCCAGAATCATGGTTTGAGAGCTGAGTTAGCAAGCTGGTCACCGGGCTGAATATGTGCTATCTTACAAAGAAAGGAATGGACTTTTAGGGTTTCAGCATGTCACATAAATGATTTATGATCTCTAACACAGACTAAAAACTAGAGACTTCAAAGGACCTTTTTCTGCACTGGAGATTTCTAAGATCTTATTTTTGCAATACCCAAGCTGTTCACCTCCAGCCCATATTATTCCTCCACAGTAAATGCATCCAGGGACACATGATGCCAATAGCTGAAGAGTACAAAGTCTAAGAGCTCCACCAAGAAAAATCTGTTTCTTGCATTCAGTATGTGGAGTAACACTAGTTTGTCTTGGACTGGAGAATCACATGCAAGTACATATCACAACAAATTGTCAAAAGTGACTTTGACATTCACCATACTAATCATACAGTACTTTTCAAAAAATGAGATTTTAATCCATTGATGAGTTAAGTAACCTTCATAAAAAAATACGTCAACAATTTATAAACTTAGGTACACACAAACTTCCAATTCTTCCTGTCTCATCTAATTACATAGAAACTTTCTGGGACCCGAGAATGTTGGTTTTTTCTGTTTTTCTGTTTAAACAGCACTGAGCACTGCTGAGATCTCAGTTAATAAATAGGCCCATATTTGTGGAAGAGTGAAAAGAGTGATAGCTTGCAAACATGTTCAGGCTTGTAACATTTCTTTAGTTGACAGTTCTGGTCAAAGAGATTTTCATTCCCTCCTTTCAATGGGACACTAGCCCTTCAGCTGTGCTGGCACAAGTGCTTGTGGGGTCACACTGCAAATGAATCTCAATGTCCTGGATCAGCTCCCTGATCTGTTTTGTGTATGGTCACACAATTGTACCAGTGTAACTGAAAGGCCAATGCCAGGGACATGAACAAGAGAAGCAGCATAACCTAGCACAGCCACCAAAAGATATAGATGTGTAGCTGTCCCCATAGGTCCCTTGGGTTTTTAGTGCTTCTTTCCAGACTAGATTCCAGTTTAAAAAGGAAGTCACTCCAACCTTGCCTCCTAGGATAAGCAGCCATGATGCAATAGACTTAATTCCAAAATCCTTTTGAATTCTTCTGAAGTTGTGTTTTATATCCTGTGACATCTGTAGAATTGTTTTTCGGGCTGTTGCAATATTTCTGTTACACGTACAGATTCACTGGGCATTTAGCTTCCTAAATATCTGACTTCCGTTTTTATAGGTCTTCCTATTTTGTTTTTCATTGTAGGAGGAACATTTTCAAGATATAAAAAATCTGGATCCAAGGTCCCTCCCCCTCCTCCCCCACTCAGTTCTAAGGAGAGGCTTTCCAAAGGCAGCTGGGCTGGTGAGACTCCACTGTCCAGTCATGGGGGAAAAAGTGGTAGTTCACATTCCACAAATACAAGTTATTAGCACAGTGCAGAGCTCAGTTTTTTTGCAGGAGGAAGGATTTTGAGGCCAGCATATGGGCAAAGTGGGAGATAAGCTCCTTACCCATTTTTCCTTCTTCATCACCCCAGAGAGAAAATGTCCTTGAACCACAAAGGATGCACAAGCCACTGAGCTCCAGCAGCTTTCACAAAATATGTCAGTAACCTGCCGCAATGCCTTTGTCACATAGTCACATGGACAGATTTTGCTTGTTAGTACCTGCCACCTTGCCAAGCAGTAAGAACAGTGGTTTTCCCTCTTTGAATCTATTCTGCATGCACAGATGCTGTTATTTCCTCTTTCTGATAATACTTGCATGGTGAAGCAAGTCATCTTAAGTTTTCAGAGCCTTCCTACCCTTCCAAAAATCTGCTTAATTATTGCACCTGCCTCAGTAGTGTCATTTGCAATCAAGTGGCCAGTATTTTTTGCTGAATTTATAGTAGCTTTGTTTGTGAGGGAAACAGGCCTATAACAACAGAATGCTTGGCGCTTTTCTCATACGTGAATTACTCATGTCTGTTACCAGTTCACTAGGAAAGATGGCAATTGCCTGATTTGCAGACTATGATTAATTATTTTTAAGCAAGGGAGTACTCAGCTATTACACAAAAGTTCTAGAGCTTGCTGCATGACCACTAGAGCTTTGGGATTCACCTTCTTGAATGTTTCTTCTATAATTCTCTTGTTCATCCTCAGTCTCTATTTTAGGATTAAACCAGTAACATATGTTGTCTCCAGAATACATAGTTTGGGCTTTCTGCTTAGCAAAAAATTGTGTAATTTCAGGATGGCAATTCTGAATATAATATTTAATCTTAAAACACAAACTCCATGTGAAGTGTTTGGGAGAGGATGGAAAAATGTCCCGCTCAGAAAATAAGACATTCACCTAAGCACCAATATACTATTTTCATATAGGTGAAGAAGCTCCTCCCGGTTATGATTTCATAAAACAATGTACCATGAAGTGCAAGGCCAGAACAGACAAGAGACATCTACAAGGTCCTATAAGGAGTAATTATTATTTATTTACCCCACATCTGCTCATGTGCCAAATTCAACATCCTATCTGTCCTTTCAGCCCCATTTCAATAAGGGGAACTTCACCTCTACCTAGGTTTACTCTTCTACTTTGTTTTTTTCCAGACTCAAAGATAACTTGTTTAAGTGTTTTCCTCACATGGATAGCAGTGACCTAATCCACTACAAGTAACTGTTTTAACAATGACTTAAAACATAACGTACAAGGAAAAGTTCTGCAAACACCCATCACTGAACAAGCTGCTTGTCAGTCCTGACATGAGTAGTCCCATTGAAATCAAATCAGTCCAAGCATAAATTCCTGAATTTATGGTTAGTTTATCAGGCTGCTACAATTCAAACAATGTAAGCCCCCATTTCACAATCAGATAGGCGGCATCTTCTTCTCAGGCCTCGTAGGAGCTCCAACAGAATCAAGGACACTGGGATGATTGCAAAGATCCATACCAACAGGTCCAGATGTAGGACCAAGGCACCTTGGCCTCAGTTACAGGGGCAGAAAGCACCAGTGCACTGCAGGGTGTGCTTTATATGTACACATGAACAAGGACCTGAACTTTGAAACTGCAGTCCCCGTGGTGTTATTATCTACAGTCTAGCATCTACGTCGATTTTTGATTTAGAAGTAAAATTTTCTCCTTAAATAAACAGAAAAAAAATGTAGCCTGTCCTAATTTTAAGACATTATTTTGAGAAGTCTCTGAAATCTCAAGTCCTTTTCTGGTACAATCGAAAGTAAAAAAATTTCAGCTAAAGAAACAGTTTCCTTATTCAGCTATTCTAAAACCATCATGACAAGAAGGCTGAGAATTTCAGATTTAAAATATTACAGCTGAGCCAACCCAGCAGCCTAGTAGCAGCTGCTATCAGCACAAAAACTAAATATGAACAATTTATCAGCCTCTCAGCCCTGTGAAAATGAAGGGTTGTTTGCATTCTTTGTAACATTTCTTGAGGACTCTATGATGATCGAAGGTCAAACAAAGAAAAGCGCCACCATTTCAGTGACTTGTGTCTCAGAACCAAACCCTACCTTTCAACATTACTAACTTTTAACAGTGACATTGTTGATGTTACATGTTTGAAATGTAAGTGCAATGAGCCTTACTTTGCATTGCTTCATTTTGCAGCTGTATCCTTTGGACCACTGTCAAAACTTGGTAAAGATAAGTCTTGCATTGATGCTGAAAGTCTTTTGAAAGCTCAAGAGCAAATGAGTGGAGGCTCTTCAGGTCTTGCTTAAGCCTCTTATCAGCAAGAAAAAAAAAACAATCGTTATAAAGACATAAAAACAGTAGTTGAGGAAGAATCAAAATAACTGCAGTGCAAATAATTATGGTGAGATGTCACAGTGAAGAAGAACACTCTACTTCATGAAAGGAAGTCATCAGGAGTGCATCTTACGGTATATTTTGAGAAGGATCCTGCAAGAGAGTCAGCAATTTCATTTCCTAAAGACTTCAGCAAGACTTAAGGATCCTTACCATCTTACTGCACATTCTTGGACTACCATAGTCTCAGGTGTAACGATGTGTCTTTCTTATTTCATCAAACAAAAGTGTGAACGTTCTTTCCACTTATTAAACAAATACAGAATTAGCAATGAATAAATAGTGATCCATATATCCCTTACTGCACTTATTACCCACACTGTGTTCAGTAGGTGTTTGCTAAGGTTCACCATAAGTCGTTTCTTAAATAAGCCAGCTCTGTGCATTCCTATGAAAACAAACGTATTTTGAGAAATACGTTCAGAAACCTTTATTGTTCAGAAAAGTGTTTATATTATTACTGTAACTCAGTACAACATACATTGTGTGACTTTTAAATATATATATCCAGGGCATCTTATATTCACTTAAAAGTTCCAATGAAATAAATGCAAATTGCCCTAATTTTAGGATCAGTAGGCTTTCTGACTTCAAGGTCTTGGAACAGGCACTTAAAGCCATCTTTAAAAGGAGCTTAACAGCATCTTATCTCACAGCACACTGTGATGATTCATTAGTCAGCTTGGTGCAAAGTATCACAACGAGTCTGTGAGACTTAAATTGTTCCAATTGTGTTAGTGACCTTGAATTAATCGACAAGTTTTAATGATAAAACCATAAATCAAACTAAAGGGAGGTAATCGCTATAGCTGTCAGTCTCAAAAACCACAGAACATATAACTGGGCAGAAATCAATTTTTTTTTTTTTTCAATTACAGGTATAGGATTCCATTAATTTAGACTTATCTAGAGAGCTTTCAACTCTTCTACCATACATTTATCTCTACTAGTAAGCCATCTCAATCCACTGATACTGCATCACAAGCAGGTCTGCCATTTTAAGCAACCTAAAATGTAAAACATTACTGCAAGATCTACTGAGAACTGCTGTAATTACGCTAAATCCTTGTGTCTATTTAGAATTAGGTTCCTTTCCTAACTTATTTTTTGGTTATTCTATGGAGGCTTTCGAAACTGCCCTGAGAAAAAAATGACATTTTTAAGTGTCCTTGAAAGGAACTCACCATTCTATGGAGTAACTTAAGGAGCAAGTACTTCAACAAAGGAAAATATTATTTTCATACTATAGGGAAAATTTTCCAATATCTTGAATGCAAAATTAAGACTGTCTGACTGAGCATACAGCAAAATACTCCTGCTTCGGAGTGCCTCCAACATGGATGAACTCCCAGTGCAGTCAACACTTTGCTGCCTAATGCTGCAAAACTACTACAGGTTTTAAGCTAACTGAGGCGTTGCTACACTTCACTGCAGGTAATGCCATGCATGCAGTAAGCCATAGATCAGGTTCAGATCTGATTGTTTTCCTGTTTTTTACGACATTTGATAAACACATATATGTTTAGAGCATAGACTATGGCTAAGTTATTACTAAATGTTTTTACCTGTAATGCTCTGTGAAGCTGGGTTACAACACAGCTTGTCTGCAATGCCTGCTGCTGTCCATGAGCAGAGTAGAGCTGCAAAACTTCGTTAGTGCTTCTTCCAACCAACCCTTGATACTGTTAAAAAAGGAACACCTAAAAACATCACACTGAAGACTCAAAACTCATTTTGTTCTAATATTAAGGATTCCTAGTAGCCATTGTTAGAAAATGGACATCTAAAAACTGAATGTTATCTCCTACCACACGAAATGCCATAAATGGAACAGACCAGTTGAAGATATCGTCTTTATGAGTTGCACTTTAGAAATACCTGCCTCTCATTAACCTAGAGTGACTAGATCAGATGCTTATATATGGACTGTAGACTTTGCATTCACTGCAGGCCAAGTGTCACGGTGTCACTCTAAGATGGGATAGAGTGGGTCAAATAATTCAGAAACTCGGAACAAAAACTGCCTTTTGGATCAGTTAAGGATGCAAAAAATGCAGGGGATGAGAGAGGACCTTCCAGATGGAGTGAAGTCCTAAGCATATCCCCAACAAGGAGTGATTATAGAAGCTAGCATTCTTCCTGGGTCCAGCACCTAAGGGCGCGGATTAGGCAACACAGCAGGTAATCGTTTATGGCACGTTAGCCAAATACAAATCTAAGAAGTTTCCTTCTATAAATCCAGAATAAGTAGATTAATTTTTTTTTCTTTTTCTGTTCTGTCACCTTTGTCTCTGTAAATATTTGTAATTGAATCACCTGATAACATACGATTTTATAAATACATAATTTCTTTGCTTTTACATTTTTATGATTCATGTGAAGGATCATCTCCAAGTAACTGGCTAACATCACAATATTCTACTTCTGTAGGGTGGTAAACCTCAGCAACAGTATACTGAAATGCTTTTGCAGTACCTAAAACCCCATACTTATTCTTGGGGATCTAAACGGTTACAACTGTGCCTTCTCTTCGTGTAAAGGGCTGGTTTAATGGTCAGTTTGGAGTATCTACATTTAGTCCAGAAGGGTCTCTGATATGCCGCATGGTTTTGGCAGAGAGGAAGCACACGTTAATTGCTAGAATCCTGCAGGAGCTGGTAATACACAGCCCCCGAACTGCTGTTTCATCTCTCAGTTCCTGCCAACACTGACTCCACTGCATTCAGCAGAGTTGCAATGGTGCAAAACTGAAGTAATGAAACTGTAAATTGGGCCTTCGGGGAACAAAGCAACCAAAGCAACTTTTAAAGGAGGTGGAGAATAATCCTTTCTAATAATATACAACAACCTATTATTCAAAAGCAATTTTTATGGCCAAATTTTTGAGATGTTGAAATCAAATGGAAAATAGAAATAGTACAACTTTGAATACTTACAAGGAAGAACACAAAAGTGAAATCTCTAGAGAGAAGTCATGAAATTCTGCACTGTACTGTATTTAAAAATGTATTTTGATGATTTATAGACAATCTTGGCACTTAAAAATCACCTGCAACTTCTTCACCACTTCTTTCCTGCAATCTATTGACATCTATCATTGCTTAACCAGTACTGACAGCCTCCCTCCTTATTTCTGGAATGCGTTTGTCTCTAGCACAGGCTTATTTCCCAGTTTATTCAGTCCATAAACTCTGTGACTGCAGCTCCCAGTTGTTTAATTTAACAGAGCAATACAAGAGTACAATGATGTAAAAGAGCTAACTCTACCTACATAATGGAGTTTGATTTAATTACAAACATCTGATAGTGCTAGATAAAAAGTAAAGAAAGAATTAATTGCAGTTTAACTACTAAGCTAAACTACTAACAGGTGACATCTGCAAGAACAGCAATACAATGTTCTGGAGCTGTTAGAATTTTTAAGATGTGTTTCACGTATCTAAACTAACTTTTTCATGCAGCTTTTTCATCTTCACAAAGCATGCTTCCTCTATTCACAACTGCAACAGAAGTCCTGCAGAACTATAGAACAGCTTAGCAACTAATATAAAAAGTACTTACATGGCAAAGAATAGCAGAAAAAGATTATTTTAAAAGAACTCTTGTTTTAAGGCACTGTAATAGTTGCCATCAAGGAAAGGGAAAAGCATTATGTCTCCAACCAGTTTTCACTTTTTAGTATGCTACAGAATTACCCTGCAACTTTGCTGCAAGATACATCTATCTCATTTTAATTTTCACTTTCTGCTGAAGTAGTATATGTGTACCGTACTCTCAGAATCACTATAAGCAAACTACCATACAGTTCAGAAGGCTAAATAACATGGAAAGCAGAGAGATGGATTCTTCTCTTTAGGAGGCTTAGCCTGTGCCTTGAGAAGTACTAAAAAAATGCAGCTGAGGTGTAAGTGGAGTACACTTCTAACCAGAACCATTTTTTCATTCCTCCATACCTTATAATAATTTTGTTAACAATTTTGGCTTGAGAGACACACCGTAAAGCTCATGTAAGGCACTGCAAGATGCAAGAAATATATGAGATGAAAGCTGCACAACGCAAGAAATATATCAGATGAAAGCTGCACAAAAAAGTTTGCATGTAATATCATATGTTTTACAGGGGCTAAAAATTGGGACAGCTTCTATATCGTGTTCATGTACTCTTTTACTCTGGGGATTTTCAAGACTCAAGTTACTCACATGCAATATTTACAAACATGCTTGACAAGATGCATAGAAATACTGCACCAAAATTAATGGCTCTAGCCACAGGTGAAAAGTTAAGCATATATACAAGCAATTGCAGTACTCAAGCCCGTAAGTTTAAGCTAGTTAAAATTGAATGTACTTTTAACATCTAATGTATTTTTAACAATCTGCATTGGTTCCCCTACCACCATTTTTCTCAAAATGGACAATAAGAAAAGATGCTACTCAATTCTACTTTTTCTTTGTAGTCAACTCCTCATCAATTTCACTATCAAATTTATCTTTATTGGAAATGCTCCCTTGGATTTTACGGTTTATCCGTTAAAATAATTGTAGATTTAGCATTCATCAGAATTGCTTGCAGCTCAGAATTTATAAAGTTTTGCTCATGCATGAGAAGCAGCAAACTGACTATAAAACTCTTTATAGTCAGCTTTATTATAAACAGAAGTGAAACTGAACCACTTAAATGGCATTCTCCAAACTGAAATCTCAGTTCTGCAGTCAGATCCATCCTGCCGAACTTGGCTGTATGAATGGAAGACTGCAGGATCAGGACTTGAAGAGCCACAGACAAAAGCAAGAGGCATGAAGGTAGACAAACACTTTAATTAAAAGAAAGGAGTTTGAATAACATGAGATACCAAAGATGATTCAGGAAAAGAACTAACATCTTTTAATACCTGTCTGCTTCAAGCATGTTTCCAAATGGGCAAAGGCAAGTTTGCAGTCTACAGAGAAAGAATTTGATTTTTTATGTTCAGTTACAACCCTTACAATACACTACCAGGATAATAACGTACCAGTTGAGGAAAACAGTGGCAGTGCTGTTTATTCATGATTGTCCTTAGGCTATAACGCAAGGGAAAGTCTATGGCATGGGATAACGTTTTTATTAGACTGATACAAGCTATAGAAAAACATTTACATTGCAAAACCTTATTAGTGGCTATTCTCATAAGTCTCTCTTCAAAGCTCCCTGACTCACTTCAGCCAAAATGAATCCAATTAGCTTTTACAAGTTAAGTATGAGACCTCTGTTCACCCAGCTCACTTTCATTGAACTTGTTGCAACTCAATCATTCAGGCAGTTACACCAGCAGATCTGAAGCGTCCATAAATACTAAACCGCAGACAGCGATGGATAGCTGATGGCAGTAATGTTTTTCACTAGCACAACTGGTAAAAGAGTGAGAGATATGGTGCAACATTGCACAACCTTAAACTCATCTAATTAAAATCAGTATCCTTTTAAACGGGGTCTCTTAAATTAAGTTAAAACTCTTTCATGTCAGTTTAGTTCATATTTTCAGATTGCTAGGGCAAATCAACCCAGTAGAAACTAAAGCCTTTTAAGTATATTTAAATAACTGTTGGAGTAGAAAGATCAGTTCGTGCTTGATTACAAAGTATTTCTATTAACCGTTTGCCATTGTTTCTGACTGATGGTGGAAACACCGGCACGCTGCTCATACTTCTGTAGGTGCTCAGCCTGCCAGCACATTTCCCAATAAACTGAAACAATGCCATTTCTTTTTCAGCAGCTATACATCTCATCTATGACTGCAGTGCGGGGCTATATGAACAAAGATTCAAATTGTCTGGCTTTGAAGTGCATCTTCTCTATTAGGCACATCTAAGAGGTCCCACTGTAGATAGATACACCGAGTTCTTGAACTCTCCTCACACAAGCATGAACTATAGACTTCCAAGTTCTACAAATGCTGTGGAAGTAGGCAGGTGAGTAGTAGAAATGCATCCAAAATACAGTGGGTTTAATGTTTTTCAAAGCTGCATTGCAGGCTAGATGGTACTTCTGAACCGAGTTTTGCTAGGTACGCCAAAGAATACTGCATTTATGCCTTCGTATCTAGAGAGCAGGTACTTTGTGCAGATTCTATGGTGCATGGTATACATATGTTATGCTTACTGAAGCACCGACTTACACTACAGACTCCTGACAACGCAGATAAAAACTCAATTAACCATAAAACACAAATCCATAGAATACAGGGCTTTATCAGTTCTAATGGTAAGATAACTACTTCCTATATCTGATGAACCTAACTGACTAGAATAATTTATTTCTTGTTTTTGTGAAAGTAAAAAGTCTGCTTAGACACTTAAGGTTCTTAGTAAATATGATAAAGCAGTACAGAAATAACAGAAGCATTTTCTCAAAATAAATTACAGTATTCTTTTGTATACCTAGCAAAGCCCATTTCAGATGTACCATCTGGCTTCCAATCAGGCTTTGAAAAATGTTAAACCGACTTTTATCTGCAAGTGTTAACGGAGCCACAGGGAGGGTAAGTGGCTTTCCAGAGGTCACCCAACCGTTTAATGAGTCAGCCTGGATTAGAATCTCTTGGCCGACAGTCTCTATTACAACCAGTACTCACAACCAGCTCTGTTCTAGCTTTGTAGATAAATATTCAAAATTCTCTAAATCTCTGAAGTCCTGCCTTTGAAGACCCAAAATATTTTCAGGGGCTGCTCCCTGTTTCAATAATGGTCAAGAAACAACATGTACTTCTGTAAAAGGATATATGGAAATGAGGGCACCTAGTTGTTGCTGTGTGCTCTATAACTGACTTCCACAATATACAGCTTTTTCTAGACAAATGTAACACAAGTGCTAATGAGATATACACCGGGGCATCTTTAGTAACCCTACTCATAATAAAATGTGGTTCCAGCACTCTATGAACAGTCCTTTTTAAAGCATGATTCCATCTATGTCTACCAGGTATTTCTTCAAAATCTGCCCTTTGCATTTTTCCTGCAAGTCGAAATCAGGTAACTCCATATGCAATCACTTTCATAAATTGACAATACTGATATGCTATCTGTTGTTACGAGTGCCATTTAGGAATAAAAAAAAAAAAAAAGGAAAAATAAAAAAAGGATCGAGCCTTAATCCTTTCATAGATTTCCCCAACAGGAAAACAGCACAGAATCTGAAAATAGGAAAGCAGATTTCAGTGTCTTTTTTCTGTATCTTCATATGAATTATTTTTGAAATGAACAAATGATAGATACCTCTGCAAGTTTTAAATGAAGAAGGGCATTTTCAGTTTCCAGTACGACTATTCTTTCTTCTTTGGCCTAAAGAAAAAATAAAATGAAATAAATATAATTCTAGCTAAACTACCAGTGTTATTTCATTACAATAGTTTTTGTTATTATATACCAGCGTTTCTCAGCCTTCCTAAATCAAACAACCACACACTCCCGACCTTCACAGCACAATCCTATTTAGCTACAACTACTTAAGAATTAGGATAGATTTTGAATACTCCTTTATTATTTATAGTTTCTCTCATTTTATCTGCTTACGTGGAAATACACGTGTACAAGTTTCTTGAATTCCTTTCTTTTTATCGGTTGGGTGTTTACTGTAAGTACTCAATTCCTTGATAATCCATGTATCATTCAGGCTTGAAAGCCTGCAGTTACTTTAAAAAAAAAAATCCAAGTTTTGGAACAAGACGGGATTTGTACGAGCAGCCAAGACGGGTGTGGACAGCT